ATAAGAAAACAAAATAGTAAAATAGAGTTGATAATTAATAAATAATTTTGTTTATTTTCCCCCCACTTCGCCTATAAGATTCATTCGGTCTTAAGATTAACTTTATATTGGTTCTAGTGTGAGTTTTATAAGAGATATTCTTTGTATATTAAAGCGTTCTAAAAAATATGTTCATTAGTACTGTTTTAGAACTATATTCTTTGACATTCGATGCCCCTAGAATCAAATGCTTGAATTTTAAGGAATCTATCCTATACCATAATAGTTTATTGAATTAGTTTATCTTATCGTATATAAGTTTTTCTCAAATAATTAGTCCAAGTCCGTTATTGTAATTTAATGAGGGTTTACAACCTGTCATAACATGACAAATGTGGGACACCGGCTAAAATTCAAGTAAGTACAATAGATTTATTGATATATTATGTTTTGTACATTAGTAAAATCAAATAATAATTTTAAAACTTCAAATGCTTAACCTCAAAATATTATTACCAATCGGGATAATTAACAAAACCAAATGATATTGTCATAATATCAATGTATCATATAGGTTTATTTTACATTGTTATTTGTTTATATTCTTTAAGTAAACAACATTATTAGACATTAAGTTATCAAAATGTCATCATAAAATAAACATCCTTTTATTAATGGTTAGGTACTAAGTACAACTATATATAATTATTTTATATCAATGTACTATTTACATTAAAATCAATAATTATAATAGTTATAAAATTATTTTTAATAAACGATGACACATGAGAGACGATTAGATATTAGAATTTTCTATAGAAAAAGGTAATATGCATAATCCATTGGGTTGATATTACTATTCACCTTCCTTCACATTAATTTTTGTTACAATATAAACTTAAGTTAGGTTATATTAGGTTTTATTGATAAATGTTCTTCTAAGAGCAGGGCTAACCAAATACGGTTGTACCGGGTGTTTTACTTTAAATTTATTATAATTACAGAATAGTAATAACTAATAAGTATATAGGTACCTACTTATTTTATAATTGTATGTTAAAATACGTTTAACAGTTTTGTAGGAAATTATTCCAAAAATTAATTTTTTTTTTGCGTGTCTGTTAAGATTTTTAATTTAGGTTTATAAAAAAGAGTGGAATTGCATTAAAAGATAATTAAAAAAATGTATTTAGTTCTAGAAATAAAAATCATTTAAAATAAATCTATTAATCAATTTACTTAAGTTTAAGGTCCTATAGTAAATAAACCAGTAAACCAAAATGTAGTATAACATCAAAATTTCAAAAAAAAGATAATCCATTAAAAAATATAATTGTTACTATTTAAAAAAAAAGTTGATTTTGATGTTGGTACAACTGCTTGCTTAAAAATTTTAAAATTTTCTGTTTAAAATAAAGAACACATCTTTTTTCTTTTTTTAAATTCCAGTTATCGATCTATAATAAATTTTTTAAAATGCTTCGCGTACAACGTCATAAGATACCTACACTCTGTATAATATCACAATGTAAATTTTTTAAAACTACTGATATCAATAATAAAGAAAAGGTTTGTACCTATCACTAAATTAATTTTTGAAAATAATCCGGCCCAGATAGGTTGCTATTTGATAGATTTTAACCTTTTTTCGTCCTAGATAAATTTAATGATTTTTCTTAGGATATAATTGCATGCTTATTTTTAATTTTAGGGGAACAACTTGTCATAAAATTGAAAATTATTAAACAAAATACCCTAATAACTTACATTTTGCACTTAATAAAAACAAAATAATATAATATTAAATTTAAAAAAAATGTATCTTCATAGTTTTTAAATTTAACAAATCACTTTTATTTTTAATAATGCCAATAATGTATTCAATATAAATATTATTCATTCTGCATTTTAATTTTTAATAATTATAATATACGAGTATAGCGGCTCTCTGCCTACTACCAGCCATGGTGAAGATCCTTTCTATGCTTAAGTACTGCTATATAATATGGATTATGTGGTAAGTTTATGTGTAGGTATGATCAGTGGCGCAACTAGGAGGTTCAAAAGGGTCTTTAGCACCCCTTGTTTTTTGTATATCTAACTGTAATTGTTTTAGTGAAATACTATGGCTCTGTGAGGCATTAACAGTTTTAGCACCCCACGTTTTAGAAGTCTAGTTGTGCCTATGAGTATGATACCCATAATCAATGTGTATTTAACATGAAAACATTGAATATATAAATATAACAGTAAGCCGATATCAGCTTTAATAACTTAAACTAGGAGTCACTAATTAATATTTTTGAAGGGCCACATTAGAAATCAGAAAAGTTTTTGCGGGCCATCAAAATTTTAAGTACATATTTTTAATATATAATGGGTATTATTTTAAAATTGGATGCAATGAGAACATATGTTATTATTCTTTGTCTACGGGCCAGATAAAATTTGTTCAGAGGCCGTATACGGCCCGCGGGACGCCATTTGGTGACCACTGACTTAAACAATCATTGAAATTCATCTAATCGCCATAGTGATTTTCGTAGTTCCTGCGTCCCTGTGACCCATCGAAAAAACTCCCGATATCACGCCGGCGCGGAAAAGTTTACTCCGGCTACGAATACCTGTAGACAGATCAGCTGATTTAGAAACATTTCGATTATATCGCACATTAGTATGATATATGGACGTTTGTACTCCACGTCTAACATGTTATTTTACATAAATCAAAGAACATCCATTCTGGTAGTTTGTTCATCATGTCTTATTATTTATTAATTAAAATTTCGTTTTTATATTCCTGTTTAGTAAAATTATACAGCCATACCAAAACTGGGTCAGATGTTTGATGCCCACAGACCGGCGCAGTGTCGACTACTCCGCTTAAGAGCAATGGCGTCGATTTCACTAGATAGCAAATAGTATGAGTTTTATACACTCATTGATTTAATCGTCTATCAGGGTTGTGCCGCTTACACTACGATTGCGGGGCAATAGTGTTCATCGATATTACGACATTACGTTGAGTAATATCATATCGCATTTTTTGTAAACACAGCTAATAATATTATAACAATTATTAAATAATATTATATTCCACCATCAAGACATCCGGTAATCCAGTGGAATGCAATTCCGAAGTTTCTGATCAGATATTGCCAACGTTTTTGAAAATCGACGAATTGAACAGGTATTTACATGAATCATGACGATTTGTTTACATATTAATTATTTAACATTATAATAAGTAAATGCTATTCTATGAGTTGGTAAAGTAGGTTTCTCATTATAACCTATGGTTAGCATTTCAAGTATAATGATGGGCTGGGCTCGGAAGTTGTAAGAGCTAAAAATTGCAAAATATGCATTAAAAATGTTAAATATGCAAAAAAATTATTCAATATTCCATAAAAAAAAAAAAAAAAAAATACATCAGATATTGTTAATAAATTAATAATAATATACATAAAAATTGTTCATAACTGAAAAAAATAGGTTAAGATTTGCTATAATTAATTTAATTGTTGAAAGTGACCATGACAATAAATACCTTAGTTGATAATTCTGAGTTTATATTCAATATTAAATGAAATATACAGGTTAAGAAAGAAAAAAATAAATTTTTTTAGAAAAATATTAAACATGCATAATATGCGTATAAAATCAATGAAATATGCAAACATTTTTAACTAAAATTTATAAAATAAACATAATATGCATTTTCAATCTTCAATTTTTAATTTTCCATTGGACAGTTCAGATTTTTAACTTGGTCTGCTATAAATTGAGAGCATACAGAATAATATGCAATTCCTACAACTTCCGAGTTCTAATTATGGTATTAATGCGTGTATGAAAAACAGAAATTCATTATTGCTTTACCTGATTCCCAAGATTACTCAAAATGTGCTAAATACTGATCATGTGTTTCCGTGTATATTTTCATAGACCTTGGTATCATAAACCTTGTATAATTTTTATTTTTATACTAACCGAAGTTTTTGTTATATACCATTTTTTGTATATTATTGTGTTAATATTTTCATGGTTTGGTTAGCAAATAATTTTGCCGAGTCTATAGGTATTAACAAAAAAAATTCGAGGTGGTTTTTATTAAAAAGTAATTCAACAATGATAACATTTTTTTTTACATCCTTATAGGTAGAAAAAATAATAAAATCCTTTTAGTTTTTTAACAATATGACATTTACCAAAAATATTTTAAAAGACTGAATGACTTAAAAATTAATGTAAAAAATGAATAATTTAAGTATGGAGTGCTTAACATTCTATACAAATACACGGTATGCCATAATTTATTATACAATTTATATTGGAAACTTTTTGTGATCATTTTCAACTTTTTCATTTTAATAAAAAGTAGTTTTTATTTAATAGTATAAGTTTTAATTAATATCACATTTTAAAACTTTGATTGAATACCAATAATGTTAGCTAATGTTACCTTTATCAGACCTAGATTTAAATATTAAAACTATATAGGTATAAGATTTTATTGAAAATGTAAGGATAATATAAGTCACTATAAATTACCATTATTTTCATTATAAATAAATATTATAGTTTAGTTTAGGAGTCTTGTAAATTATAAAGGTGCCTCTGTTGACTAGCAAGAATTTTAAAATACTTCATCTTTTATTAAAAAATAAAATGAATTACTAATTATTATGTCATCATCTCATTATTCATTATGAGTATTTATTTAAATTTTTTATAATATCTTATAGTAAAAATATTGAAACTACTTATGTCTTTATTACTATTAATACATTTTCTATTATTAATCTTTGTACTAGTTAATTATTTTGGATCAAAAAGTCTAAATACAAAAATACAGTGTTAACCGATTAAAAATATCACTATAGAAGAAGAAGAAAAATTTACCATAAAAAAACATTTTATTGTTTGGCAGTTATATTTTAAGTCATAAGTAAGAAATGAAAACAATTCAATAAAACTTATTTTTAACTAATATATTATTAAATTATTAAAATTCTAGCATGGCTTCTTCAATTTCTAGCAACTGTAGCTTCAGTTCAAATATCTCTACCTACAGTTCTTTTATAGAATTATTAAGATCAAGAAATTCTTCTAGCACTAAACTAGTAAATGGAAAATCAAAGTAAGATAATTTATTATACATATATAAGGCGCTATAGCCTATAGTTAATAGGTATTTTATAACAGTCTATAAAGTTAAAAAAACCATAGTTTAATTAAAATCAAAATTAATTTACAGACTAAATATTAACACAAAAATAAGTAAATATTGGTTTCCAAAACAATTAAAATGGTATGAAGTAATAGCAAAATATTCAGATGGATCTGGTAAAATTTTAAAGAAACCAAGGTTACTCCTGATAACAATTTATAATTTTAAGTACAGAAAAATTGAAGTTATATGATTTTAGGTTTAGTATTCCAATAAAGTGTAAGAATGAATGTCCAAAGAATTCATGTTGTATTCGTATTATTAACTTGAGCAGAAGAGTATCTGCTGATAACCTTTTAGAAATATTTTCTGAATTTGGAGAAATAAAAAAAATAGATATACATTTCAACCGCTACGATAGAATTTCTAAAGGAGTTTCTTACATAATGTTTTCCACACCAGAAGAATCTAAAAATGCTGTACAATCCATGAATAGATGTGAGTTAAATATATTTTATTTTAATAATTTCTAATAATTGTAATATATATATCTAATTGATAATAAATTAAAATAGGCGAAATTGATGAGGATGAAATAATATGTGAACTATGGTTTTTGCCATATGTAGAATACCATGTAAGTTCTATACTTCGTAGTGCTTGCAGTGGAGTTGGATACAGAAGTTTATCAAGACGTTTACCACCAACTCATATTACACATTATTCTTCTCAACTAGATAGATTGAGATATTATTCTAAATTTCCTTTAACTTCTCCAAAGTGTTATTATATGACTACAAATGAATCTTGTCCAGAGTCATCAAAAAAATCATATCCTAGATCTCCAAGGCAATCTAGATTAAGATCCCATTCTAACTCTCAAAATAGAGAAGATTCTATATGTTCCAAGAGCTCTCGCTATAAATCTTCAAAAAAATTTTGTTCCAAATATTCTAGGAAGCCTTATTAGTTTCACAAAAAATATATACCTACCTTTTTCTTTTTCAATGCATTGATATAAACAAATACAATTTATTACTATTATTATTATTGTTTTTTTTTTTTTACATAGGTACATTAATTATGTATACTGTGATTTAAATTCAAGATAGTTCATTTTTAGTAAGCAATAATAAACTATTATTGACACAACAAAAAAGTGAAAAAATTTATTTAAAAATATCAATAATTTTTTTTTTTTTTATGTTATAATTATATGAGATAATTTTTAACACTGGAGTAAATATAAAATAAATAATTATTTATTAACTTTTTATAGTTCAAAAACAAATAAATTTCATCTAAATTTATTAATACATCTTTAAAACTATTATAATACTATGATAACATATTTAAATTTATTAAATTAACTAAGTATTTAATTTAAAACAATTGTTCTGTTAGCTAATTGTTATTTGTTTTCTTTAATAGAATAAATGTATTCCTTCTATCTCATCCAAAAAAAAAAAAAAAAAAATTGCTAATTCTTTTTATATATTGATAAAAATTTGATTTGACTATATTATTTTTCTAACTGAAAAATCAGTTAAGTTATATTATAATCATTAAACAGTTCATAAAAATTTACTTAAATTTATCATTCATTAGAGTTTAAATTAATTTTAAATGATATTCTTAATTCTTGTATGGTATTTTTATGCTTAATTGAATTAAAATATTTTGTTAATTATATAAATTGTATATAGAGTATGATGAAGTTGTTTGGGATCCATACTGCTGATGACTTAGCATTTCAAAAGGGTCTACCAAAGAATTTTACTAGTTTCTAATAATTTGTTGTATATTCTTCGTAAGTCACATTTTTGTGTACAGTTGTAAATGTACTTGTCATCCCTAGCTGAGCATAGACGTTCTGCAAGAATTACATTCTTGAACAATTTTTTGGGCATCTATAAGAAAATGGATTATTCTATCTTTGTTTTTTTTATGCTTTAAAGTTTCATGGCATTCATATAAATCTACTGTTCTTTTTTATATTTCTCATTTCATCATCAACTACATGCACATTAGGTGATTAATATGTCATAGCAATAAAGATTCCTTCTTTCTAATTTATGTTTTTAACACTTAATAGTTAAATAGTTAATTTATAAATATAAAATTATTATATTTATATGTTTAATGTACATGTTTGTTAAACATTTATTAAATAAATCTATTATATGTGTAATCTTATATTATTTTTAAAAGTTCTGAATTTTTTTTTTTTTTGTATACATATTATTATTGCTTATTAGTAAATATTATACTCAGTTGTCAAATGTTTTATATATTATACATTAGCATTATTATTATTTAGATTATTGCTTACGATGTTATTACTTATAGATAATGGTAGTACTACAATGAATGCACTGTTTGCAAGTAAACTTATAATTGTAAATTATGATTAAGCAATTATACATCGCTTCATAACAATTTTTTCATTAAAGTAGTCAATATACAAGAGAAGTATATAATTAGATTGCCTTAACCTTATTCATACTACTTTAAAGAAATGATTCAAAATATTGTGTCATTATTCTTCTATAGTAATCGCTTAAAAGATTTTATTTTTAATTACATTTAAGTAGAATAATAAAAAAATTAAAACATGTTGACCTAAAATAATTTTTCTTTGAAACTAAATTAAATATTACTGATCATTAATTATTGTTTTAGTGACTCAAAATTTGTCAACACTTTCCTTGTAGTAAGCTTATGTCTACTAAATTCATTTATCATAGGGACTTGATTTTATTTTAAAAATATATGTTATATTGAAATGAATAAAATTGGTGTTATCAAATAATAATAAACAATTTCTACAATTCAAGTTTTATTTCATCAGTAATCATTTTAACACTATTTTTAATTGTAAATAAAATTAGTAGAATATTCATTAAGGTGTAACAATAAATGAATAAATAGTATTATAAGTTAAATTAAAAGAACTATTAAACAAGAACAAATTATAATTTCATCTATAATCCTTAAATGACTTGAAATTAAAAGTTTAGAGTCAGATATTTTAATATCAATTAATAACAAAAAAAAAAAAAAAAAAAACAATAAGTATAATATAATTTTGGATAAGTAATTAATAATTATACTTGATTTATAAAAAAAAAAAATCTATTAACAAGCATACATTCTATAAGATACCTATGTCAGTAATAAAATAAATAGTTACTTTAGAGTTTAGATAAAGCAGTTCATACATTTTAGAATCTTATTCCCCAAAAAATAAAAAATATAATACTTAAAAGATTATCATTTAAAAATTTCGTAACTGTGTATTATAAATCTATTACAGTAGTTTTAAAATAATTTATGTGTTTGTTGCCTATTATTATTATAGCATAATTTATTAGATAACATAATGAATTAATTTTATTTATTTATTTATTTATTTATACTTACATAATTTATTATTATACAGTAAACTGCTATATCATAGGTTCAGACACTTCAGAGTAATGTATCCAGGCGGTCAGGTATTATATTATTTGACTAGTCATCTTCAATTATGTCTAAATTTACAACATTGATAGGTAGTAAGAAATATTAAATATTAGTCTAAATTTTAGACTAAGTATTTTTTACTCATGAGCTTTTTTTGTATTTGTACCTTCTTCAAAATGCATAGTTTGGTGAACCATTAGTGCTATATAGAATTTATTAAGAAGTATTGAGAGATTTGAACTTTTAGCAGTTATTTTAAAATAATTTATTTAAATAAGTTGTCTGTTGAACGTGTACAATACAACTTCTTATATTGGTGATTTTAAATGGATTTATTTAACATAATTTAATAAGTTTTAATTTTTCTCTTTGAGTTTAAGTTATTAATAGGTAATTAAAAATCAACCAATTATAACATTTTAATTAAATAGGTACCCACTAACTACAAAAAGGCTAAATAAGTACCTCGTAAAAATGTATAAAAAAAACACTATTTTAATAAAATATTTTAAATAAAGATAAAGATAATATAATTAATATTAACAAAAAATAATTGAAAACATTGATAAGAATGATAATTTTGTTTCGCAAGATATTCAATATCCAATACCTATCCATAAAATGTTAGATACATATTATGATTTATAATTTACCTACTATACCTAGGTAGAAGTTACTTTACTTGGAAATAAAACTAAAAACTATTGAAAAAATTGAATTGTAAAATAACATATTTACTACTTTGATAGGCTCAGAATTTTCCGTTTTACATTTAATCTAATTTCTAAGGCGTCATAAAATTTATTAAAGATTGTCATTTGTCAATCCACTTTTTTTCTCTTTAACCTACGTATCGCATGGCAAATTTATGTTCAATCAAACCTTGCGTTTTTATCTTTAATAATGAAATAGATTTATTACTTAGAGGTAAAACAATTATCAAGCCCACATAATAGGATTTTATTGATATCCACAATTTAAAAGCAAGTTTTAACTATGTAAAACATAATGGTATTTTATATTTTGTAATGATTATTGGGCAAGTTTTCGGCCATATTAACCATAGATGTTGTAGGCTGATACTTGATCCATATTGAAAATAATAAAATATGATAAAAGTTATTTAAAAAAAAAACAATATTATTCGTATTTCAAAATTACCTGTTGGAAAAATACATCAAATATAATTGTCGTCTGTATAATGTGATTTGGAGCAACATAATCAAAAACTTTGGTAATATTATGTAAGTATTATAGAACTTAATTTTTATTTTCATTTATTGGTGATTAATATTGAGATGCTAATCTACCTATGTTTTGAATTTTTCACCATCAATATTGTCCAAGAGGAAACCTACAGATTTTGATTTATATTTGAAATCATAGATTTTTCAAATTAACATAAATTCTTTTAAAATTATAAGATTGATTTATTTTAAAATATTTTTATCTATTATTAATTTAAAATTTTCAATGATGTTTAAGTATTTTCATATCAATATTATTTTTTAATAAAATTAGTAAAATGTTTAATCATTATTTAGTTTGTAAATTGTAAACATTTAGTAAGTATTTATACAAAACTGTGTAATATTAGAGCCTTTAAACTTAGGTATAATGTATTAATTTTATCAATGGGAATTTAATCCTAATTGTGTTTTTATCAAAATAAATAATCTTATGCTAATATTACACCAACTATTACAGAAATAATATAAAATTTTAAGTTACCTACGTTATGAATACGTATGCATGTGTAATGTATGTAGTATGTATATGGGTGTGTGGTTAGATACAATAAAAAATGATAACCATAAACAATTTTAGGGCCACGTCATCTTCTCATAGATTAACCTTTGTTATTTTGCTAGTTTCCATCGGGTAAAAGGTTCATTCTTTACCATTTAATTTATATTCAAAGGTCACAAATTTATAATCATGTAGGTAGGTGCTTGAGGTATCAATTCTTTTATCCGGTAAATGTTTGTTGTGTCCCGATAAAAAGGTCTCGATAATAACATGCGTAAGTTGAGGCCTGAGTTCCTGTCATGTAGGTATCATCATATATATTATCGTTCAAATTTTTATCTTATTCAATTTAAGTCTTATAAGTTATCAGTTATAATAAATAAATATACTAAAATTAATAATAATTTAAAATGTAAATAATAACGATTAATATAAAATGTATAAAAAATTTAAAAACCAATATTTTTAATTACATGAATATTATAACAGTAATGTAGACAGTCCTAAGACTTTTCAAATGAGAAAGAAAATATTGGTTGAAAATTTGTGACATAAGTACATTTTAAATGTTAATAAGTTGACTGGTAAGCTATTTGAAGTAAAATTGTTCCAGGCGCTTTGAGAGTTAAATTTAATATTCTTTTACTTCTCCGTCTGCGCTATCTGAAATATTATAATTTATCATTAGATATATGGTTATGAAAATTTATTTCAGTGATACATTGCTACATATCAGTTTTTACAATAATATAAGTCGAATTAATTAGGTTTAAGAAAAAAAAGGAAAGATAATTAAATTAACCTTTCATATCCTATTGTAACATTTTTAGATTGTTTAGATATTTTTCAATAGATTTTTTTCATTTTATTATTCTTATTGAATAACCACATTAAATAATTAGTGATATGTTTGTTTTATAGTAGTAAAATACTAAATATTAATTTAGTATTACTTTAATTCACTAAATAATAAAGGTATCAAAATGGTGTTTTGTCACTATATGTAATTAAGTTTAGTTTTCAAAACGAAAACAGTAAGAATTATATACAATTATTGAAGTTATCGTGTTTGATTAGTGAGAATTAAATATAATGATAATACCAGTCAACTTGTTAATATAAAAAATAACCGGGACGCAATTTACATCAAAAACTTACATTGGGACGCAACTTACAGTCACCCCTTTTATCGTCTCTGCAAAAATGTCTGAGTGAAGTGTTGCACTTATTTATAATGTTGCATTCCATCTGGAGTTTCCTTGCTTAACTCTTTCTTTTCCAATAAATGTACAGACTATAGAGTACTCTTAAGGAAGGTCATGGGCTCGAACTTAGTTGGATTACTCCCCAATGGTATCATCAGGCATGAATTAAATTTAAGTTTAAAACGTGTTTTACAACATTTAACGGCATGATTGAATAATTTTGGTAAATGACGTCATTTACCAGGGAATGAGTCACTCACCAATTTTCGTTATCCACTGTCACGTATATTCGTTTTATACCTAAGTCTATAGTATTTATGAGAATGTAAGGAAATAGAGATTCTGCAATGGAATACTGAAGTATGGGAAACATTATTATCATATACATATAAAAAGCACAGAATACAAACATTATATTATTGTATCAGACTTAGGTATAAAACGAATATACGTGACAGTGGATAACGAAAATTGGTGAGTGACTCATTCCCTGGTAAATTACGTCATTTACCAAAATTATTCAATCATGCCGTTAAATGTTGTAAAACACGTTTTAAACTTAAATATATCTACTATATTTATATATAAATGATAAGTATTAAATTTATATTATTTTATCATTAATAAGTAAACTATCTATAATTGCATATTTAAAAAATTGAAGTTTTATCTCTTAAACTACAACAATTAAAACATTTATTATTAACATTTAAATATTTATTATCCGTCAAATTAGGAGATACTGTTTCTGGGTACCCCCCCCCCCCCATCCAACTATCAAGTTATTCAAGTCAATGCTCATATTTATTACTTCATTTCATTTACTTATCATGCTTATTTGTATAGATTGTAAATTTAGCAATAAAAAAATATATTTAGTATTAGCATCATAGTATTACTTACATATTATTTTAATATCTTATGAATTATGTTTAACCAAAAATAGTTCATAAGAAATATATGTTTTTTTTACCCTTCTTAAAATTGAATGTAAATACAAGACTATATCAGTTTTTAAACTTAATCAAATATTTGCTTAGGATAATAATATATGACATTATAAGAATTTCTATCTTTAAAACTATATTATGTTCATTGTTTGCTATTATTTCGAATACTTGATAAACTATATACAAAGGTTCAACGTTCAACGAATTAATAAAGATTGAATGCATGTTATGTCTTTTATACCTACTTTTTGTAAATTATTGGAATGCTATGTGGACATTAAAAGATAATTATTTAGTCAATAAATAATTTGTAAACATCCTAATTGTCTAACTATCACGTCGTTTACATTCTTGTTTCATATTGTAACCTGTATGAGTCGTATAGGTTGACGCAGTAGTACCAAATTAGTGTGACTGACCCTAGCGCTGTAGTATAGCCTATACCATCGATCTTCTCATTAATGATCCATCAGCCGGCATAAATTGATGTCATTCGTTTTGACGATTTCGTACGAAGAATTAAATATCATTTTATTAACTTCTTCTGACTTCAACCATGGGCAAATTCAAAGTATATCTTTTGGTTTTTTTATTAATCACAGGTTAGTATTTAGAAATGATAATTATAAAAGGCTTAAGTAGATATAATATCCGTGCTATAAATATCATGCAACATTATTTTTTTTTGGACAAGTAAATAACAAAAAATATTTTTATTTATATTTATTTAAATTATTAAATTCTTAGTAATTTAAATAAATTTACAGTAAAAAATATTATTTTATTAATTGACTATTGTTTGCTTGTCAATTCTATCAATTTTCTCATAAATAAGCCGAAAACTAATAATTTATTAGTTTTATAAAAAACTATATTTAATCAATTTAAATGTTAGAGCCAAATATTTCTGTATTACAAACGTCGAATTGGTTTTTCTACTAATTATTTACATTAGTTTTTGTTGTACCTGATAGCCTATGGTAAAATTTCCTATTAGCAAAATATTTGACTACATTTATTTTATGTTGTGTAAAACTGTACGCTTATTTTATCATGTACTAGAGTTGTTAAATTTTTAATTATTTAATATTTCTCTTAACTAGTAATATTATAAATAAGTGCTATAAACCGACCATAGTTAAACGTAATCTTATTAATAAAGATAATTAGTATTAATTTGCTAAAAAATCTTGAATATAAGGAATTTCATAAATGTTTACCTTGTTATATTTTCATATCAAACAACTGATCATCAACTACTGAGTTGCTTTTATTGTATTATATCTACCTTAAGTTTCAAAATAATAATTAATAGCTATTATACTTAACTCTACAGTGTAGAAATATTGTATATAATGTGCTAATGTGTCTATTTGTTGTTACATATAGGATCAAGATTGAATACGTCTGCACGTGCAGCGTTATGTGATCCAATGATTAAACCTTGTTTGACAGGTAGTTGTATGCCATGCGATTTTAAAAAAGAACAATCGATTGATGAAGACGACTGTATGAATCCGAATGGATGCCCGGAAGTCACCAAAATAAAACTCGAACCACCGTCCTCGGACCTCCTAATGCGCCAACCACTACTCTTCTCTAATCAGATGACTACGTGCTTGTTTTATTTCTGGAATATGTGTCCATTTTATTGGTAGGTATATATAAATTAACTACTTATTTTTAATGTACTTTAGTTTATACTTGCTCTATAATCTATACGCGTTTTATTTCTTATAGCTTACAGGTTTATAGCTACAAACTATAGTTAAGGTAGATAATATAAGAAATAGATAATATGTGCAGTTCTAACTTCTAACAATCCAAAGTTTATAACAAAAAATAAATAATTCATAGTGGTATAAATTATAAAATGTCTAGAAAGATAGAAAGAGTAATTTAAAATATCTTTAATCTCGTAGCCCATAGTCCCATACTCTTTATCAATGTACTAGTTAAAGTCTGTTATGTGCAAATAATTAAAAGATGTGTATTGTACATTTTACATGACCCATTAGCTATCTTATTAATATTTTTCATCTAATGTGCGACTTTGATAAAAATAAAATATCTGTGTTTGCTATTATATGTATAAGTTTTATCCGGTTTGCGAGTTAGTTTATTCTATTTTCTTTTAGTATTATCAATAAAATATTAAAATATTATGCTTAGTTCCTAATTTAACACTGATAGGTGTTACTTTTTGTTGAGTCCTTGAATCGAATTGATCACAATTGTGACATTGTGTATCCAATTTATCGGGTTAGAGGCTTAATTTTGATTTTTGAAAGTAAAAATAAAATTTTCATTTTATTAATATTAATATTAAAAGTCGCAAGTTAAGTAATCTCTCTTTTTAATTTTTTTTTCCTAGAAACTTTTAACTTAACAAATGTTGAAGTAAAATTTTAGATAGGCCAGTTGAGAATACTGACAGTATGTAGAAAGATTGTGGTGGGATTTTGGAAGGAAGTAGGTATACAATTTTTTTTTACTTTCCTTTAAAATATGTAAAATACCTACTATCTTTATTATTTTTTAGTCACAACTTTTTTTTTAAACTTAATTTATTATTATAATGTAAAATCTAATAACTATAATAATTTATAATCTAGTAAAAAAATAATATTTTTTTAGGGGGAATAGCTTCAACTTCACAGAATTTTCCCCTCTTTGGTTCGTTATTGAGGGGCTATAATGAACTAGTGACTTGTATTTTTAAAAAATCTTTAAAATAAATCCTAATATTAGTACAAAATTTGTTTTTCGTACGAGATATTAAATTTTAAATAATAATTTATGGAAATACATTTTTTAAATTTATCTATACTTATTAGTAATTATCAACTAATTATTTATTATTATTTATTTAGGGTTTAGTCAGCAGTATCTATTAAAATCTAAGACTATACTGTGAATTTATATGCTAAATTTAACAAATTCAAATAAATATTTTATTGAAATAAACATTTAGGTACATAATATATCAAACATATAGGGTAACTACATAAATAATATTTTAAAAATAGCGTATTATAAATATCATAATTCATCAATAATACTTTTAAACTACATTTTATAAGATATGAAAATTGCGCGTTTATCAATGGTTCAATATGTAACACTTAAATCTTTTATACTAACATTTTTTTTTAAATTTAAATTTTCATTGGACCCATAAATAAGAATTGGCCTAGCAGGGTATACAGTATACTTTTAAAGTTATTTTAGAGATTTGTTCAAAATTAATGTAATAAATATATTACATTATTATCCTTAAAATAGTAATTAATAACTTAATGAATTAATTGATTGAAATGCTTGTACTATTTTATAGCATAGAAATTATAGTTTATGAATTAAAAAAAAAAAACAGTCAATTTTATTGTTGTATGACAATTTTTATATGATTGACATATTTTCTTTACTGATTTCTTTGTAAAATTTCTCAGAAATTTTTAAAAAAGCCAACTTAGGTCTTAGCTTTAATTTATATTTCTATACACTATAAACTTGATTCACCATGTAGCTTAAAGGTAATGAATTTGAATTGTACTAATACGCTATTTACGAAAAAAAAAAATAAAATATTAGTATAATAATTTTCATATAGTTTATATACAATGAACCTAAATAGTTATTATAATATCTGCATAGTAAAATAATTATTTAAAGTTGATTAAAATTAGTATAGAGATCCACAGCATGATTATAGATCCTAACTTTGCTGACTATACCTTAAATAAATAATTGCTTATTAAAATGGATAAATTACAAAAATATCATATACTTTTACACTCTTAGTAATATATTTGATAATTGGCCGTTTAAATGTATTAAGCAAGCATCTATATATTTTTTATTAATATTATCAAAATATTTTATATTATTTTTGTATTAATATCCTAGTTCTTATATTACCTATAGGTACTTATTTTTTAATTTTTAAAAATGAATAGAATCATAATCTATCTATTATTACATATATTTTTAATTAATGGTGTATTAATGAACGTTTATAATATAGTAAATATAATAAAATATGTATATTTTAGAATTAACTGTTTTATCGATTATCATATTTTAATAATTAGACTTAGTAATTATAAGGGTTAAAAAAGGTAAAATATGCAATTTTTAGAATAATATTCATAAAAAATATTAAATACGCAAAAAAGTATTCAAAATTCTGAAAATGTTCTAATATTGTTATTAATATGTACAAAAACTAATGGAAAATATGGAATATAAATTTATAATATTTAAAATAATATAGCAGAAAACTAATTAATTTTTTAACATTGTACTGAACTAAAAAAATAGTTTAAAAAATACTGTTAAATGTCAATTGTGTTCAAAAAATTAACGAATAAACAATAACTAAATGGTTTGATTGTGTTTCGGAATATTAGTGTGATAGAGATTTAATGAGTATCACGACTTGTTATTAAATTTATAGTTGACTGCGACGATAACAATAAATACCTGTATTAAATAATAATGAGTTTTATACTCATTAAAGTACTGTTTTTACCTTAGATGTTACGATTACCTATCAAAGATTATTCAAGTGTATGATTTTTATAGTCTATTTGAGAATGAATTTTAGCTAGTTTGTTTAAAATAAGGATGTTTTATAAAAGTAAAAATAATAAGTCAATTTTTTTTTTATTCAATATTTCTAGTGTACGAGTATATTATAAGTCATTTTATTTTTTTTTTAAATTTTTCAATAAAAATATTTTTAATATTAGATATTATTTATTTAATAATTCTAACTAATTAATATTTTTATAGTGATGTCACGTTTAGAGATAAAATCATAATACGTCTGAAAAATATTTTTTTTCTGATTGAACGTTTGGGCACTATGGTATGTAACTATCTACATCGGTATACTAAGGTTTTTATGTATATCGAGTACATAACTTTTTTAAATAAGTTATTTATATTTTATAAGTGTTTCTATTAGAAATTATATTATAAAAATATGAATTATAATTTATAACTAAAAATTCATAGTAATGCTTAAGTTGCGTTTAATTGTATAAATAACAATGTACATCGAAAAACATACTCGTGGCTGTTGAACGAGACTTTCTACGATAATTATTGTAGTTGGACTGCGATAAAGTGCAATAATAGACAATATTAAATATTATATGAAATATTATTTACAAAAAAAATTATAGTTATTATTTTTAGTTCTTCTTCAAATCTCTAAATTTTAAACGATAACATCGACGATCTGATACAAAAAACTTTCTAACGCTTATTCGTACATAGGTACATGTAGTTAAATATGTGGGTACATATATTACAAATTTAATATTAATTTTTAAAACTGTAGGATAAAACAAATAATAATGAATTCATTTATTAGTTTAGTAATTATTGTTGTTAAAATAAGATTAATCACGGGCAATGGTACACTTGTATAATTTGATTTTGAAAAATATTTCTTTCAGAGTAGGAGATTAGAAAGTATATTATATTATACAATATACATATTAATTAGTTATTGACTATCTCTGAAATTCAATATTATAATAATTGTTAACAATATATTTAGGCCGGTATCGATACGCTTGATAAATAGTTGTGACAGCATGTTGAAAATATAGAAAAAAGTATAGGTATAAACAGGTAATTTAAAAGAACAAAAATAAAATCTGATGAATAAATAATATAACATTTTACTGCTTATCACAACCGGTTTATGATTTGTAGAAATATCTAAAATGAAAAATAAAATGTAAAATAGAACTATCTATTCGGTCGAGTTGTGACAGGCGAGTGGATAAAACTACTAAAGTATAACAATTAAATATCATAAGAGAATGCACCAAACAAGCTATAAATTGTCCACACATAAAAAATTGATTATTCTCCTTAAATATATGAAGAGTTGAGCTTTTATTAAAAATTTAATATTTTTCTAAACTTATTTTTATCTATTACTATTATATTTTTTTAATTTTTAGGAATACGTTAATGAATACTGCATATCCACAAGAAGAGTAATGAAGATATATTACTGTCTGTTGTCATTCCTACCTAAAAGAGCAAAATCTATTTATTTTATTTATCTTTTTCTTTTTAACAACGGGATAAAAATTAAAAATTATAATTTATGATCAGTTATAATTAAAACTCATTGTATTTTAATTGTTAATTAACTTTTAATTTAATATTTGACACATGTAATAATTAATTTTCAAATATTATGTATTTATATACCTATTATATATTATGTAATTTTATTTTTGTTTTATCAAAATGTTTATTTTATATTATTAGTATTTTTATGTTTATCACACTTAATAGTTAATTCAAAATCGTAAACATCATCAGGTACTCTGATTTCTAAAAAAGGGCTGTTTAAATATAATAGGCTTCAAATTTTAATTTTAATCTTAAGATGTTTAAAATAACTAATGTAAAATTTTAATTTATAGTATCTTTGGTTTTATTAAAATAAATTCTATAATTTCTAATTTCTATTTTGGTTTATATTTTATTAAATATATTTAAGCTTATGGATGCTTTTTTTGAGCTTTTGGGAGATGTTTAAATTATATTTTTTGGTTGTGAGTGAAAGTCTGTGAAATATAATAAAAATAAATATCATAACGAAGCAATTATTTGCACCAATTAATAATACGATATATTTTGTTATCTATTATAGCGCAATTATTTTAAGTCTCAAAAGATTCATATAAATATATAAGTAATTATATAACCATCGCGTGGTTTGGTTACAATATAGGTATTATTGTTAGGCTACTGTTAACAATTTTTGAACATTAGTATTTGGTATTTTAATATAAATGGTTCAAAACTGTTAATTTCAAACTATGATAAATGTTGTCTCTTAAGCTACTTTATTCTTTATACAGACATTAATTTACAAAGCCACTAAAGTATAAGTTGTAGTCAGTATAATATTATTCTTATCATCCTACATGGTCGAATTAATGATGAATGAAATTATACAGATAAAGTAGTATAAGTTACATACTCACTTAAAACTAAAAACTAAAATATATATATTAAGCTTGTGTTTTTGCTACACATCCAAACATTTTTACTGTACGGATATTTAAAGTAAAAAACTACTTTTTATAAATCATTGGTGTATTGCGAGATATGAACAAAGGAGGTCGAAGTGGTCAAGTTAAGTTTTGATATTTTATTAACATTCTGATAAAAAAAAAAAATAAAATACTAACCTATCTAGTTTTATTTTTTGTACAATCAACTTTTAAGTAAACACGGTTTCCCTTTTAGATATAACTAATTGTAGAAACAACATTAAACACTTAAACTACATATTTATTTTAAATATTTTTTTATATTTTTGTTTAAATAATACGTATAGATAATAATCAATATAATTGTAGGTTTGGTTACATACCTACAGTTACAGTAATATACTTATCATTCTAAAATTACAATAATAAGTGTCTTTAAAACATCTTATCTTGGGAATAGAAGAAACTTAATTTAATTTCGGCAGAGCTTTATTAATAGAGTTTAGTAGCTAAAGGTTTTGTCAATCATATTTTGTAGGTACTTAAATTAGTTTTTTCTTGTAAAAAATTGAAAATAATAATAATCAATAAAACGATTTAATATAAAATAAAATTTTTAAATTCAGATATTTATGGTTAAAAAAAAGTTTTATAACAATAATTTTCCAATTTTAAAGTTATATTTTTCTTATGATTAGTATATTACAATTTATAAATTATCAATATTAAATACATATTAAAAATATTATAATAATAAATAAAATTAGATAGCAGTAAGAATTTCAAACTAAGCAGGTATTGTCTAATTACTTACCTATAATAATTAAAGATAAGGTTTGGTTAAGTCAAAGAATTTAATTAACTGTACATAACTTTTTTATTTAGTAATTAATTTATTTATACATAATTTAAGTTACTTTTTATAAGTAATATTACTAAAATACTCATTACTTTATTGTTTAAATATTTTTTAAGTACCCATTGATAACAGATGTAAATATATCATAAATATATCTACGATTTTTTTTTAATAAGATTTTTGTACAAATTCAGTTATTTATCAAAAAACTATTATTTTTAGTAATTTTAAATTAGTGATAAATGTATTTAACAAAGGAACATAATGTTTTCTAATTTTTTTTTAGTTAGTATTGGTGACAAATTAAATCAGAAGTCAAATTTAAAAATTTCTCAATCATTTTCTTAATGATTGGGAAAACGAGGATTTTTATACAAAACTAGTTTTCGACATTTTGTGTAACTCAAAAACAAATATCTGTCAATATATAAACTTTTTACCAAATTTTGAAGTATTAAAATCTGTATAGGTATCAACATTTTTTAAATATGATAATTATTCAAAATATTTGGATTCGTTATTTAAAGGCATTTAACATTTTCGAATTTGTTTAGGATTTTTTTAATAATTGTTGATAAAAAAATTTTCACTGTGCCAAAAAGCTTGAATTATTATTATTTTAATTATTAATGGAATTTTTAGAAAAAATTGAGCATTAATCTACAATAGTTTTTAATGGTGACCATTTGAAGTTAAAACTTTTACAAAATTGGTAAAAATCAAACGAAATTTGCAAATTATTTTGTATCTTCTAACATTTTTCATTTTTACACCTTTTCTTTATAATTTTATTTACTTGATTACATAACTCATGATTAAAAAAACTTGACTGGAAAGTTTTATTTATTTTTTAATGAGTGTTTGAGTTTTTAAGTTAAAAAGTTTAAAACTTGTAAAATAACTATTTCTTCTTAAACGATTTTTTTATTTTGCTGTAATTTCGTTGATGTTAATCAAACGTTTTTAAAAGCATATGCTAAAGATACATGATATAATTTTTCAAAATATTGCAAATATTTCAACTCATTTAAAGAAATTTAATATTTTGATTATTTTATTTTATTTGTTATGAACTACAGTCTACAACAAAAAATTTTTCTTAGTTAAAAGTTTGAAAATTCAATAGGTATAAGATTCCTCATAATTCATAAATTGTTATTATACCTAGCTATCATAAAATATTTGAGTTCCACTCCTTAAAAGTATTTTATACTGTAATTAAAAAATAATAAACGGTATAAACATAATTGTTTTTTATAGACATTTTACGTTTAATTTTAGAAAAAAAAAAATGGTACTTAAATGAAGAATAACGATTTTAGTTACCTATTTTGTTGTACCTAATTCAAAAATATTATTCGCGGAGACTTATAATTTTTACGTAGTCTTGTACCTAGATATAGTATTATATTTCATACATAAAAGGATATTTTTAAAATGTTTTTAAAAAAAATGAATTAAATCTACTGTGTTTAATGTTTATGTAGTCATGTAGATACTAATAGTAGAATTAATTACATTAATAGAAATAGAAATTTGTCATAAAATTGACTTATCTAATAGTATAGGCTTATTTGTCTTCGCACAAAATGGTTTTAAATATATTGTAATGACTAATGAATAACGATTATGATTTAAAATTGAGTTCAAATTTTAACACACATATTACCTATATTACAGAGATTTACTCAATTATTTATAAGATACATACACTCACGCCTACTGACTAATGTAATGCAGATTAGTTAGGTACCGCTTTCCCACATTTTTCATTTAATTCCTGACAATATTTTGCTTTTATTGATAACTTATTGTTTATTAATAATTATGATGTGATTTTTGTACTAAAATAATTGTATGTGTTATGTTTACCGATAAGATGGCCAATAATTGAAATATACCTACTCAAAAAAAAAAAACTTTCTAACAATATTATGTTTTATTTAAACTTATCTTCATTAATATTATTTAATAGAAAAACGTAGAGTTGTAAATATTAAAAATAAAACTAAGTAAGTATTCTATGTAGGTACCTAAGTACCTACAATGTTGATAACAAATTACCTAAGTTTACTTAGCTATTGCATTTCACTGTGACGTTGTAATTTAGTATTTACTCCATTTTACAGTATGTAGATACTTAATTTAGGAATAGTTTTACATCAATTTCGAAAGGTAATTCGTCGTGCAATTTAATTAAGTAGGTACCTACTTAGGTACTAAAAGCAAAGCAAATAATTTCCTTAAAAATGTAATACCTGGTTTTATCTTACTGTCCATTATAATTTTCAAAAAATTAAATGATGTACCTATTATAGTTTTTCATAGTTGTTAATATTTTAGTTATCATATTTACTTAAAATTTTATTTAATAACAAAATCTATCATTATTATGTAATGAGTTATATAATAAAAAAAAGATTGGTGAAAACAACTGGCCCTGTGGCGCAACGGATAACGCGTCTGACTACGGATCAGAAGATTCCAGGTTCGAATCCTGGCAGGGTCGTAACATTTTTTGCATAAAATTCACTATGAATTATTTAATATTATTACTTAAAATTAATATTTTATCTCATTAGACATTTAACGACTTGAAAATTATCCCATTTTAGTGGAGTTCATTTTTATAAGTTATAATTATAGAGGTTATTTTATTTGATTAATTTTATGATAAACGGCTATAGTGTAGTTTTAATAATGATATTGAAATAATTTTCCGATTTGTTAAGGTTAGAAGTCCCTATTTTACGAATACGATCACATGAATTCAGGAATTTTGTTATTAAATACGCATTTATTTTTACATGTGAAATTTTATTTTTAATACGTTAAATATTTTCCAATAGTTTTGTAGTTTCTAAATAGTGGTGATAGGTGATTATTTTGAACCAGGATCTCCAAAGAAAACTACCAAATATTTTACATACATTTATAAATAATTAAAAAAAATATTCAAACAGAATAATGAAAACACAATTTCATAAATAAAAAAAGACAAAAATACATTTTTTAAACCGTAGCTGATGGGCTGATCGATTTGTACTATTCGTTGAAATTTTCACATCACTGTTTTGTGAATAGTACATAGGTACATAAGTGTCATAAGTACATTGCTCCATCTGTCACGCCTTCTTACGATAATACTGTTTATGAAGCGGTTTTTTTTTCAGAACAGTAGGTCAGATATTTTTAGTTTTTAGTTTTTACGAAAATTATTAATAATTTTTTTAAAA